AACACGAGTCCCCGTGTGTTTTTCCTCTGTGTGCGCTGTGATTTATTCATGAGTGGGTCACAGGTAGGCCAATTATGGATCTTCAGATCCTCATTATGTCAGCAGCTCCACCGTGAACTATGTTAAAAATATGGGCAGAAATCTGTGCCATCAGAAACTGAATTTGAATAAGTTAAATTTGAATTTGAATTGCTCAGATTGAATCTGAATTGTAACTTGAATAAATGCTTTTGAAAACTGAATTTGAATTAGCCTAAATTGAAATTGAATTTTATATTTTGAAAATGTATTGATTTGCTTTGAAACTGTATTTTATCCTTTAAAACTTTAGCTCTCGAATAATTTCAGATTCACTTCTCACCGTTCAGTTTCAGTTCCAAAATTCAGTTTTTTGGGACTTACATCCGGTTCCGGTTCAAGCGCAGATTAATAGAGCTACGGTCGCGTCCAAATTCATGGGCTGCTTCCTCCTGGGGCCGCATTTGTAGGCCGATTACGTCACAGCGACGCGCCGAAGGCTGTCCAAATTTGTAGACTCCTCCGAATGCAGCCGACAAATGCGTCCTCCCGAGGCCGCATTTGTAGGCCGATTACGTCACAGCGACGCGCCGAAGGCTGTCCAAATTTGTAGACTCCTCCGAATGCAGCCGACAAATGCGTCCTCGCCGGGTCCTCAGGAGGATGCAGCCCATGAATTACTAGCGGACCGAAAGTGTTACTGACGGGAATTTACAGCATCTTGAGCTGAATTCAGACTTCAGAAGTCGTTCGTCATGTCGAATGAGCAGCGGATAAACTCTCAGGTTGGTAATAAATGTATTACATGTATAAGAACAAGCGTCATGTTAACAAATGATAGCCGTACAGCAACTTTTATGCTTATTGTAGCTGCTAGCTAAAAACGCTAATTTAGCGTAGTTTGCCCTGAATTCAGCTTTGACAAACAAATACGATCGACTGTTTCTAGAAGAATCCCAAAGTTGTCATCTTGTACCCTCTCAGAGCTCTGTATGCTTGCAGAGACCCCTACTGTAGGGAAACATGCAAAACGTGTCCAAACCTTTGTGTTTTAGCTTTATTTATGTCTTACACAGCATCCCAACTCTTTAGCTAACTTAATAACTTTAGCTAAAGTGAATAGTTAGTGTAATTCATTAGTGCAGCATTACTGGATCACCTCTGTTTGAAGTGACATAATATGATATACTATCACTGAAACAGCAAACTTTGTAAATAAACAAACAACACTTCTCATTCTCTAAGCGTTTGGCCACAGCTGTAGATTACACTATCAGTGCTTGACGGATAAGCAGCAGGAAACGGACGGATGTGTGAAAACGCTTGCACTTCCTGTCATGGAGCTGTTTCTTGTTGTGTTGGAGGAGCACCAGCTTTGCTCCAGAGTCAGTCTGGAGGAGAGTCTTCGGCTCTCTACCCACAGTTGACGGTCACAGGTGAGGAATCGCGGACCTGATCTGCGGGTTCAGGCCAGGCGGTGTGATGTGCTCAGTGAGTGCAGAGTAAGAAGTAAACAGGAAGTAAGTAAAAAGGAAAAGCACTGCAGACAGACTTTCTGAACACCAGCAGAAAGCTTCTGCGGTGGAGACGCAGAGGGAGCATCTCGGTGCTGCGCAGTAATGAGACTGAAGCTCATCCCCACACAGCACGCCGCCGCCGCTCCTCTGACATCACATCCATTACTGAG